TATTTTGATGTCATGATATGTAATTAAAAATTGTTATTTTACGGTGATAATCTTGTTTTCTTGTGCCCAATAATGCATAATTTCATTTGATAACACGTTTAGATTGAATGGTAATTTATAATCAGTCACAAGAACGTCAAATCTGAATCACTTGAAAAAAACACGGGGGTGCTTAACTTTTTTCCAGGTGTATATATGTAAAGCTGCTCATCAAAGCTTTAAGCTATGAAAGATGACTTTTGAGAATTTGATGTATCTATCAGTATTAACTTGATGATTTTTTTTTAATATTGATAGGCTCGTGCAAATTCAGCTTTAAGCACCCGAGAGACTTCTGTTAGTAGCTTACGAAACTGCTGGGACACGTTGAAGGTGGATAACAAAACTTTTCTGACGTTGGTCACCTCAGCATTCCCCTCAGCTAAGGTAAGAATAGACAAGAGTGAATTGAATCCTTTAATATCAGCCTGTTTAACCAAGAAAACATTTTTCTTTTAAATCTTCAGTGTTTATTTCAACTAAAGGAAATTACTTTGGTGACCCTAGCTTTATAAAGCAATATAACTGTGTACAAGTTCCTCAGTACCGTATTTTTCGGAATATAAGACGCACCCTTATTTTGAAGACAAAGTTTTGGGGAAAAAAGCTACAGTTGCATTTGAAAGATATTTATTGAACAAAAATTCAATTTGATACTTTAAAAATTAGTATATATTGTTCTAAACACAAAAGAGCTCAAAACATCAAAATAAGAAAATACCGTAAATAAAAAAAAAAAGGTTTACTGTTATTTAGTTTGGCTCAAAACTGACAAAATCTTCATTGCTTTCACTGTAATTTATTTTTTTATTATTTAGGGAGCATTATAAATAGTTATGTTTTTAAAAGAAAAAAAACTACTATTGTTATAAATAACACATTCAATTGAATTAAACTGTGCATGCCTATTTAAATATATTTACACACGGCTTGTGTATATCGTATATATACATATATATAATATTCATACCTCGGTGTATAGGACGCAAGCAGATTTTTACATCAAATTTTGGGGTTAAAAAAAAGTGTGTCTTTTACACTGAAAAATACAATAACTTTTAATTTTCTTCGTCAGTTTAAAAATACAAAGAAATTATTAAAACCACTGTAGAAAAAAATAATTATTTAGTGAATGTTTCAGCCAAAAATAGTGTAGAATTATGTGGTCAGGAGTTTGGTCAAAATGTCAACTAAATTTGTCCTTTCCATAGGCAGTTTAATCATTTAGTTTTTTTATCAGATGTTGTAATGTTCAGGAAGCAACATGAGTAATGAATAAATGTTACTTCCTGAATGTATAAGTTTTAATAATTTATATGATGACTGAAAATTATAATACAAACCTTTTGAAAACAAACCTCCAAAAGATAAAAGTATAACATTATAATCTTTTTTTTTTCTTTTTTTTTTCACTTTCGTAAATTTGGAGCATCATACTGTGCTTTTTAAGGTTTCTGGTCCATTTTTTAACCCTATCTGGACTGCAGAACACCTTTCAGGTGTTGAGTGCACACCTGCGTATCTTGTTACAAATTCATTGTAGTTCACAAAGAAAAAAAAAGAAAAATTGCAAACTTTTGTTTTTTCACACCTTGAGGATTCTCACCTGTAAACAAGATATTTGTAAATTTTTATTTTGCTTTTTTGCTCATCTCAAAATATAGGTTCATGGTCATTTAGTAAACTGTTGTTCCTTGAAAATATAATGACTTATTTCTTGTTTCTCACATGATTTTCCTTTCCAGTTTGTTTTTTTATTATTACAGCTCTATGTTACCACCTTTTCTTGTAGCACATGGTCTAAACGTTTACTAATGTAACTTATCTATGAAGATAGCTAGTACTAATGTCTTAATATGATTGGATAGAATAAATTAGATCATAATCTGTCTATATCAAGGTAGAGGAAATAGTGGTTTTATCAGTAATTATTGATTTCTCCAGATATTGACTTTTGGGAGGGAACAAAGGAATCTAATGGGAAGTTTAGAACAATTACGAACAAAACAAACCACATATCTGAGAATATTTTTATAGCTTCTTTAGACGTTTCTTTTGTACTGGAAAATATTTTTGTGTCATCAGGTAATGTTAATTGCATTTGGCAAGAATGGTAGATAATAAAAACATTTTCATGTGTCAGAAATTCTTCATTTATTGAATGTTTTTGCTCCATATGTTGTATTCAAACAACATACACAAATAAAAAGAAATATTATTTATTAAAAATAAACTATTGTTGAAGATAGATTTATATCAAATAATGTAGTTAACAAAGATCATGACACCTAATCTGATAATGGTATAAATGATGATGCCATTTTGAAAGACGTAGTTCTAGGGAACTGTTAAATATTTTGTCATGTTTTTTTATGAGTTTTAACCAGAAGTGGTGAGTACTGTAATTGTCAAAGTAAAGTATTAAAAGTGGCCAAGGGAAGCCTGGTGGTCAGTTTGCTGGACTTGTGGATACGATGTACCCTGGTTCGTGTAACTTATTGATAGGAAAAAAAATTCAAATTCCATGTTTTGGGGCCATTTGTCATTGTAAGAGTGGTGGTCAAATCCCATAATTTCAATTAAGAGTAGCTCCGAGTTGGCTACATGGCATTGAGTAGCTGTCTTCCTGCTAGTCCATCATTTTAAAATTTATTGATAACTAGCACTGATAGTCCTCAAACAGTATTGTAAACATTGATAGTTAATAGTTATTTTTAATTTTAAGTTTTGCTTAAGCCATTTTTTTCTTTCGAAACATTGAATATGAAAGTTAATTTTTTTTCTATTTACTTTTACAGGATCAAGACATGCTTATAGGTGAACTTAGGCATAATAGGTTTTTCGATGTATTTGAATACAATGGTCCTTTGAAATTGTGGGGTTGTTTCTTGTGCAACCATCCTGACCGTGCTCTGGACTTTTTACAAGGCAGTGAACCAGTCATTGAGGTAAAAATTGTTACTTCCAAGATCAAGAATAACAAGAAACTAATAAAGATATATATACTTTCAAATAAAAAAATAAAAAAATAAACTTTATATGTAGATGTTCAGTCACAGGTTTGCAACTGTCAGATAGGTATCATGTTCAAATATATGAAGTTCCTGTTAAAAATTCCTGTAAGGATGGGCATTCGGTGTAAAGTTTTTTTATTATTGTGTTTGGTAACTCGCAAAGTAGGAAATAAAAGGCATGTAAAAAAATATAACACTTGAGAGGATCCTGCCAGAAAAATTGATTAAATATAGAATATAACAGCTTGAAATGAACACAGCATTTGTATTAGAAAAACTACAATGTTTTGACCAATCACTAAAGAAAGAACTGGTAATCCGAAGATTGTGATTTCTATGCATTAGCTTTAATCAAAAAAAGTAATTCTAGGAATGAATAAAAATATCCTTACTTCCAAAGTAAAATACATAAAAATTTAAAAAGAAGTACTCTTGACGTGCATATATTTAAATAAGTTTACACTTTTTGAAGGTAGCACATGTGTGGTCGAAATGTTTTACTTTTTAATCAGAAAAAAAATCTTATTTTTCGTATAAAATGTTACATAAATAAGGCAAAGAACTGCAGATTTATGTCGACCATGCAGAATTAACATGTTTTTCATAGGATTATGTAGTACTTAACATGATTCCAGTGAACATTTCTAATGTCAATAAACAGGGATGGTCTTCAAATGAAAACAGTTGTTGCTGTTATGAAAGTTTAGTGTAATATAGTTTTATTGGTGTTGTATAGGTATAGTGATAAACCCCCATATCCTTATTGTTCTATTCCTGTAATACATAGGATATTCTTGTCATTATAAAGGTTCTGTCATAGACAGAATATCTGTTCCTCTATAGGTTCTGTAATAGAGTGCATATTCCTCTTATCATACCCAATATGCATTATATTATATGATATGCAATATATCCTTGTTGTTATGAAGGTTTTAGAATAGTCAGTATAAACCTTTTGTTACTCAGGTTTTGGGTTAGATTGTATATCTTTTAAATGTATGGGTTTCAAGTAGAAAGGAAGGTTCTATTATACCCATTATATCCCAACTGTTAAAGTTCCTTTAATAATAGACAGTATATTATTCTTGTAATACGTGTGAAAGACATTTTTTTACTTCATACTCTGTAGTATCTATGATTTAGTCTAAATATTTGCCTCTTAAGTAGTTTCTATGATAAACAGTATACCATCATTGTCACCATGTAGGCTCTGTCGTAACATATTTCTGTCACTAGGTTGGTTCTGTGATAAATGGTGTACCATCCTTGTCACCATGTAGGCTCTGTTGTAACATATTTCTGTCACTAGGTTGGTTCTGTGATAAATGGTGTACCATCCTTGTCACCATGTAGGCTCTGTTGTAACATATTTCTGTCACTAGGTTGGTTCTGTGATAAATGGTGTACCATCCTTGTCACCATGTAGGCTCTGTTGTAACATATTTCTGTCACTAGGTTGGTTCTGTGATAAATGGTGTACCATCCTTGTCACCATGTAGGCTCTGTTGTAACATATTTCTGTCACTAGGTTGGTTCTGTGATAAATGGTATACCATCCTTGTCACCATGTAGGCTCTGTCATAACATATTTCTGTCACTAGGTTGGACACCATTTATCACAGAAGTTACGACAGAGCCTACATGGTGACAAGGATGGTATATTTCTGTCACTAGGTTGTTCTGTGATAAATGGTGTACCATCATTGTCACCATGTTGGCTCTATGATGAACTGTATGATATTATATAACTATAACTAAAAAATGTTCTGTGTTAAACATTATATCCTTGTAATTGTTTAGGTTATATGATAAACAGTATGTTTTTGTCACTGTATTTTTCTGTACTATTCTTTATACTGGGACTTCAGAGATAAGTAGTACATTTTTTTCACTGCTCAGATTCTGGTATATCCTACATCCTTGTCATTACCGTTTCTAGGATACATAATAGTATATCTGAGTTTTAGTCTTTGGATGTTTATGTATTACCACCTGCAAGTTGTCTATACATACTTGTTCTATAGAACTTTACTATACCATTCAATTTTTTTGTATTTTCATGAAGAATACGAGGGCCAAAAAATAATCTACTAGCAGCAAGTGACAATAATAACTGACCTTCCAAGATTTCTGACTTTTCCTACATTGTTTAATCGTATATCGTTTTGCCAAATAAAGTCTCTTTTTATCACGTAGCCATTACAGCAACCTTAATACTCATGAGAGAGGTTGGGCGATCTTTGACCACCCCTGGATTGATGATTTGACTTAAATTGTTTAATTATCCTACCTAAATACCCAGAAAGTTATCAAAGGCAAAGTTGTCATAAAGGTTTTTGTGGTTTATCTGTGACTCATAGTTGAGACTAATTGTTATTAATTGTAATTTTATTGGAGATTATTAGCAACTTCTCTGATAAAAGACATTGTATAACTGAGATTTGAACATTGAAGTCACTGTAAGTTTCTGTAAATAATTATTAGAGATAAGTAACAATCATATCATGTAACACACACTGATTTGTTGTGTTTTTTTACTGTGTGTGTGTGTGTGTTTGGGGAGGGTGTAAGGGAATCTGTTAATTAGCTAAAGGACTCCAAAAATATAGTCTTGGAAGCTTTGGGCACTCGTAAAATTCAGAGTCAATGTTTCATGCTATGTGCTGTTATTTACTCTCTGATATATCCTCTTGTATTAATGTATAGGTCATAACAAATTGTTTGCTTATCTTATTACTAGTTTATAAGACACTTGTATTAATTCCAGAGATTTTCAGGTACTTAATATTTTTTTAAAAATACTTAGGGACAGCTCAAAGAAAAGAAAGCTAAATGGAAAATCTTTCGTCGTTGGAGAACTCGTTATTTTACTTTATCTGGAGCTCACTTGTCTTACCGTGGCTCAGTAAGTATTGGTTAAAGCAAGAAATAAGGGAAAGGTATTTTTTTATTAATTGTACGAAACTATTGATAAACTAACGCATGCCAGCCCGGCATTTTGATTTGGATCCAAAAAAAATGAGTAATTTCAGAAATGTTTTGATTTGACAAAAAAAAAGACTTTGGGCACTATTTATGAGGTCTAGGTTGCTGGAACTGACCCAAAACCGTGAGAGCCAACATGGAGAAGTTAACTTGTAAATGTAAAGTGAAATGATATAGCAATGAAACATGCATGAGGTGTTCTAGATGTGTTTGTGAATGTGAGGGTTAAAGTGTACTGATTGAGCTAAATCATGGGTCCAGATCAAATGAGAAAATAACTTATTTGAAGATATCCCAATCAATCTGACATACCAGCTGAATCAAAAATTCATCAATTAATTACTGCATTGACAGCGAAACATAAAAAAACAGGCACACTAGTATCATTATATCTTCGAAAAGGGGGATTGGAATTGTGTATAGGAAATCATCAGTTTTAGTATTATGTGAAACTAATGGTAAAGCAAAGCTCAAAGATGCAGTGTTGAAATTGAAGCAGATGCACAATTCATTACAAGATGATTTCCCTAGTGATTCTCAAATTAAAAATGTCATTTCTGCAATGAATACTAAATATGAAGGATGGTATAATGCCCAGTATGGTACCACAATAGCATAATCCATATAGATTTCATCATATCATATTTACATTAATATTTAGTTATTTTGTTTCAGAAATTGTGCCAAACTTCATTCATCGAGATCTATTGAAATAATAAATCACTAGTTTCCAGAATAACCGCTCTGTTGACCATCCTAGGCATTATACCAAAAGATACTGAGCTGGCTCATGTGGCAGGTGTTAAAAATAAAAAACAATATTAAAATCTAATAGCTCTTGTTTTTAAGAAATTGTTAAGCTGTAAACAGTACATTAAACCCTAAAATTACGAAATTGTTAAGCTGTAAACAGTTCATTAACCCTAAAATTACGAAATTGTTAAGCTGTAAACAGTTCATTAACCCTAAAATTTCTGATGAAGTCCATTGATTTTTAAACAAACTTTTCCAAACTGCTTGTGGGACCATGACTTTGTTAGTTACAGGTTCTTTAATAATACAAGTTAAACATCATTGAAATTATTGAACAGTATAAAAAATAATTAGACAATTTTAGTTTATTACAGTTTGGTTCAAAATGAATGTTGGTGGTTACTTTCACCTATTCATTTGTCATTCCCTGTAGAAAAATTCACATTAGAAGGCTGTAAGCTTGAAGGCTTATAACTAAAACTTGGGATTCATTACTTGCAATAAACACAGTAAATTCTGTAGCTTTGTGCTAAAAAAAAGCTATAAATGCTAGAAAGTAAAGAAACTATAATGTGTACTTTCTTTGATCTAGGGAAAACACAAGGATGCTCAGCCCATTGAAGTAAGCCAAATCCGTACGGTGCGTGCCATCAGTAGTAGAGGGAGAACCATCCCAAAAGCTTTTGAAATTTTCACAAATGACAGAATCTTTGTGCTCAAGGCTAAGGACAGTAAAAATACAGAACAGTGGGTACAGTGTTTGTCTATTGCCTTAGCTCACTCTCATGCTCGCGTGGCTCTTTGAGAGAGTAATTTGTCTTCAAGGTTTGTTACTCTAGTTGTATGATACGCACAGAACGCAAAGAGCTGGTCTCTTTATTTTTCCTTCCTATACTAAATTTACTGTTATAATGAAATGTAATAAAAGTATTGTGAAGTAGATCACATCAATACTAAGAGCTTTAGTCAAGTATTGTTTGTTTTTAAATTGATTATGTGATTAAGCTTTTTCTGTAAGTAGGAGACTGTGTCCTGTTGAACTTTAATTAAAATATTCCTGTGCCATTACCAACAGTTTAGTTGCTGGACACATATCTTGTCCAGCTCAGGTGTAAGTGGGGTACGAGTTGTCCCCGTGATACAGCTATGGATTTTGGAAGCTTCTGAGTACCACAAAATATTCTCCTCACTTTAAGCTGGGGGCATGTTACAAGAGTGACAGTCAATACTTAGCATGGATGGTTTGGTGACAGGGTGGTGCTAATTGGCTGACTACCCTCTGGTCAATAGTTTGAATTTATGAATAGTGGGAGATAGCATTAGTAGTTTTGCCATGAATATAAGATACTGGGTTAAGTTTAGTAATCTGTAATATCTTTTCATAAGTAAACATTTCTCGCATCCTTTAGTGAGAGTTTTAAACAAACTGTGATATGTATAAGTATGTGATCACATATTCCCAATTTATTTTTGTCTCTATAATTTTATGTTCATTTATAAGTATTTCTAACCATCTAATGGTGGAACCTTTAATCATAGAATTTCATCTTCAACATTTAAATTCATATTCCACTTTGTATCATATTAATTCTGTTTATAACTTTAAAAATATTGTTTTATATTCTCAGCTTTAAAAACTACACTTAAGTCAGTTTAAATAAAGACAACTGATCCTTTACATTTAATATTCAATATAATATATGTTTGTATACAGTAATATTATAAACATTGTTTACGAACATGGAATTGTATTTATAATTATTAAACTTATCCAAATAAGTTGTTATCACGTATGTCAGTTGGGAAACCATTTTTCCATAAGAACATTTTATATTTCATATTTTTCAATATTTCATTTCATTTTACGTTAACGACTTTCCTAAATCTTGTGTTAGGGTAGAGAAAATAAGAGGTAAAAAATATGAACTTTTACTAAAAAAAAATTGATATTCATTTAAGAGGTTATAAAACTTGAGCAACACAATAAAGGCTTCATAAGCTTGTTGACAATTCTTTAGTAAAAATACTTTATTAAAAAATCTAATTATTTGTGTACAACGGACTTGCAAGTTTACGAAAAGCTTCCCAAATTGCGTGAATGTACACTTGATGCGTTTAGAGTTACAGTATGTATAATTTCATGATTATTAGGTAGTTACATACATGTTATATATCAAAACTCTCATAGAAAACCCTTTTATCAGGCTGTCAGTTTATTAGCAAATTCAAAGCTGTCTTTAACAAATATTCATTATTTGTGTAATGTTCCATAAACCTAACCAAAGGTCTAATTTAAATGACTGTATATATCTCCATTAGAAACTGTAGTTCTAAATGGACATCCTTCATTATGAACCTTAGGAATTGCATTTAACATACTTTGATGACAGTCTGATGGCCTCATCATTAAATATATTTGTGTTATTATGTTTTTTAAATTTTAATAAATAATTCTGTAATATTATTTCTCTGTTTTATAGGAGACTTTTGTAACATGATAAATATTTTATTGTCATTTAAAATATTTATATTAGAATTACTGTATCAGAACTATTCCATTACCTTTATCAAGTTTCAATATAACTATCTTATCATTTTTACAAAGACTCCTAATTGTTAACAGTTCTTTATTAAGACAACTATTATAAAATGCCCATTCTCTACTGTCATATGTTATGACAGTTACATAATAATCAACTATCAAACATGTATAATTAAACACAAATATATTAAACTATTCAAATTAAATAACTGTTCATACACAATGTGAATTTTCTTTTAAAATATTCCTTCTCCTGGCACTATATATGAATGTCTCCCTTTTAATAGTTCACAGCACTGGCACCAAATGGATACATCTCGGGACTTGACTTGCAATCTTCTTGAAGTTATTGACAACATAAAAACCTATAGAATGTACTAGGTCTTTCTGTAGGCACTTAACTGTAGTAAATCTATGACAAAAATCTTCTTGAAGTTATTGACAACATAAAAACCTATAGAATGTACTAGGTCTTTCTGTAGGCATTTAACTGTAGTAAATCTATGACAAAATCCAGAGAAATCAAGCTTGTATGCACAAGCAGTAATATTAACAACTTCACCCATTTAGTATATAGGTTTTTCTCATAGTGACTACAAAGCACATTCACACCAACAGTATGTTTGAACATCAGCAACTTAAATAACACACACTAAACAGAAACAAACCAACATCTCTCTTTGGTCCAATTGGCCCCTTTTATACTTTGCAGAGTACATACCTTGGTTGGTAGGTAGGCTATGCCATATAGATAAGGACACCCTAAGTCTGCCTGCTAAGTTTAATCTTGCTAACTAATTGAAATTCATAAATAGTTAAAAGAAAAAGGGAACATGCAGTACATATAACATAGTAATTTCAATATTTAATATACCAATAACTGTATATTTCAACTTAACATCATATTAACTATCAAAAATAAATGTTAAAAATTGATATCTTATAACCATGATATATATATATAAGACAAGTAATTATCAGTGTTGTATTGAAAAATAAATAAATATCTATTAAATTCATACCTCATAAATGCACAATAATAAAATTTTCCCTTCTCAATAAATAAAATATAAATATGTTTAAAACTTCCACCTTCTGAACATACTTGCAAAATAACTGGTGAATGAACTTATAGTATTCAGTATAGTATTAGCGTAGTTAGAATAATTAGTGTGTATAAAGGTTAAATCTTTGTTACAGATAAATTTAGTGCACCTGATCAGGCACTTGGTGATTGTGACATAGTCACAGCCGCAATATTTTTAAAGTTCACAGTAGAATATTTGCAGAGAAAAGTTTACTTATAAAAAGAGACAGACTTAAACCAATGCTTAAGAAGATGGGTTCAAGAACTGAATTGTTAGTAATGAAATAAAAATTATGTTTGGCTGAGTAGAAATTTTGGAATCAATGTGAAATGAAATAGGCTAGACATAAGGCCAGTTTATAGCCATTAGCTTTATCAGGTAGTGCAGCTTGAAATACGAGTCTTTTTTTATCAACTATTGTAATTTGAAATTGTTCATTATAGGTGTATAAATACAGTTAAATTTGAAACAATGTTCTCTAGATGTTATGTGTGGATATTTATTGATAATTAGAAATTATCTAATTACTGAATTTTATATATTAAAGAAAACAAAGTTATTTGGGTATATATGGTTCAGAGTGTAGTTTTATTCTAGAAGTAAATAAAGAATTTTATTCAATCAAAGATTTATCACTAATGCAACATAATTTATTCTGTATAAAAGGATAAAGCTGTTAATTTTTCATTATACTTCATTAGGACTAAAAGGACTGTTTGTACACAGGCAAAAACTAAAAGGTGAAAGATATGTTTACCACCAAAAAAAACGACTAATCACACTCCAGAAATAACTATCTTATTCAAACCCAACGTTTTGTCTTATGCCTTTTTCAAGAGTTGTATGTGTTCTTTTCAGTTATCAGTTTGTATTTTTATGTGATGCTGTAACCCTCAAGAAAAGCATAAGCCGAAACATCAGGTTTGAGTAAAATAAATTTTTACTCGAGTGTGATTAGTTATGTTTTTGTGTGTTCCAATTATACAGTCTGATCTACAATATTTAAAAATTAAATAAGAAAAATGTTTCTATTTTCTCTTTAGCTTAAACTTTAGTTTAGAAAGTGTTTTTCCATATATCAGTTTTATAATATAGTTGTTGTGAGTATATAAGGTTACTAAACTTAATTGTTGTTTAATTATCAGTTGAAACATTGCCAATTTAAGAAATAAAGAAAAAAATACATTGAGCTTCCTTGAATTTGGTGATTCAACCATTTTGCCATTAGTGCTTATAAAAGGTTGCCAAAGCGAGTGACTAATTAGTATGAAAATTATATCGATTAACTTGTGATAGTTATCTTTGTAAACAGGAAAAAACTCCGACAACATTAAGAACTTGTTTGCTGTTACCTTATGAACAAAGCTTCTTATCATACAGCCTTTGGATTAACTTCAGGTACAAAACACAAACTTCTATAAAAAAACTAGACTGCCAGTGACTGCAGTTATCAGTACGGGGCTTGCATGCAGTACAGCAGCTATCTGGGTCCAGGATCTCTGGACGACCAATAAATATTATATCTAATAAGAGAAAGTTGCAAGTTTTAAGTAGTGTTGCCAAGTCTCGACCAATAAATATTATATCTAATAAGAGAAAGTTACAAGTTTTAAGTAGTGTTGCCAAGTCTCGACCAATAAATATTATATCTAATAAGAGAAAGTTGCAAGTTTTAAGTAGTGTTGCCTAGTCTCGACCAATAAATATTATATCTAATAAGAGAAAGTTACAAGTTTTAAGTAGTGTTGCCTAGTCTCGACCAATAAATATTATATCTAATAAGAGAAAGTTACAAGTTTTAAGTAGTATTGTCAAGTCTCAACCAATAAATATTATATCTAATAAGAGAAAGTTACAAGTTTTAAGTAGTGTTGCCAAGTCTCGACCAATAAATATTATATCTAATAAGAGAAAGTTACAAGTTTTAAGTAGTATTGTCAAGTCTCGACCAATAAATATTATATCTAATAAGAGAAAGTTACAAGTTTTAAGTAGTATTGCCAAGTCTCAACCGATAAATATTATATCAGATAAAAGAAAATTATAAGTTTTAAGTAGTGTTGCCAAGTTTTGTAAGAAAAAAGTAAGCAGCTCTACCATTCAAAATAAGTGGCACTGCCTTTCTAATTAAGCCCCAAACAAGCGACACTGCCTTTCTAAATAAGCCCAAAACAAGCGACACTGCCTTTCTAAATAAGCCCCAAACAAGGGACACTGCCTTTCTAAATAAGCCTAAAACAAGCGACACTGTCTTTCTAAATAAGCCCAAAACAAGTGGTACTGTTTTTCGAAATAAGCCCAAAACAAGCGACACTGTCTTTCTAAATAAGCCCAAAACAAGTGGTACTGTTTTTCGAAATAAGCCCAAAACAAGCGACACTGTCTTTCTAAATAAGCCCAAAACAAGTGGTACTGTTTTTCGAAATAAGCCCAAAACAAGCGACACTGTCTTTTTAAATAAGCCCAAAACAAGTGGTACTGTTTTTCGAAATAAGGTCAAAACAAGCGACACTGTCTTTCTAAATAAGCCCAAAACAAGTGGTACTGTTTTTCGAAATAAGGTCAAAACAAGTGGCACTGCCTTTGGAAACTTCTCTTTTTATGGCTCACCCTCAAAATGGCAATTTGCATGGCTTAATTTGAATATAGAATATGCCAGGTGTGCAGGCCAGAAAATTCATGATTATGGGTGTGATATTTAATTGAACAGGAGTGGAGATAAGATGATTATAAAATTTTAACAAGGTGTATACTATTCATTAAACCAGTCAATCACCAAAACTACTCTTACAACTATTTTATTGTGTGTTGAAGTCAACTACTACAACAAGAACAACAAATAAAAAAGCCCAAATAAATGACTTCAGGATAAAACAAATCCAAATAACCACAACCCGTGACTCCCAAAATATTATAGCCACTTTTAAGATAAACAAACCCAATTCCTTTTTTTTTAAAGTAGTCTTGACAGCACTGGTTTTAAGATGAAGAGCTACCAATGATTGAATATTTTACTATTTTTGGGGGGGAAATTTTCACACAATTTTTACATTTGAAACTATTTAACTGGCATATGAATACATTTCTTAAAGCATGATAAATGTATTATAACATTATGATATCTTAAGTTTTACACCTTAATTTATAGGTGTATAAATACAGTTAAATTTTATTCTTAGGAAAATTTAACTCCTTTGAAACAATGTTCTCTAGATCTTATGTGTGGATATTTATTGATAATTAGAAATTATCTAATTACATATGAATACATTTTTTAAAGCATGATAAACGTATTATAACATTATAATATCTTAAGTTTTACACCTTGGATTCAAAGTTATTGACAAAAAAAAACAAACTTGTATCCATTCCCCACATACCCCTCTTGGTTTCAATTTTAAGTATGTCCTAAACCCTCAACATACTGACTTTTGAAAAGTACAAGCTTATTGCCCTTTTATTTAATTAATACACCTATTTTTCTGATATTGTAAGTTATAGCAATATGGTACTACCAAAGATTATAATTTGATTGGACTAGAACACATATAATATCAAACAGATGATTGTAAATGCCATTGAGTTTCAATAATGTGATGTCTTGTGTCAAAGATATCACCATTTCTCAATTATGACTTCAAATCATGCTCCTTCTCTTTTGTTTTATGCCATTTAGTATTCAAAGTCTGTGTAAACTAACATTAGATAGTGTTAATCTTTTAACATATACTTGTGTCTGTAGTAGAAAATATTTGGTTAAAGTAGAGGAGTAAGAAAGTAACAATGTATGTTGTAAAAGAAAATGAATCATAATTTACATTACCTCATATATTTTGTACAAGAAAAGGGTAATCAGCAGATACATGTGTGATGTAATTAACCGATAGTTATTTAAATAATCAGTGTAGAGTACTGATATTTAGAATACTTAATGGTTGTATAACCCTTTAGCTATCTTTGATATATTGATCATTAATATTTTTCACACTGATCGTGGCCCGGCTACTCTGGAGATGAAGACCTACTGTGGTTTGCCTCGAATGTCTCAGATTCTCGCAGCTTGATTGTCTGGAACATAAACTTGATTGATCATCAAACTAATGGTGGTCAAACATACATCTAAAATAATAAATTATGTAAATAGAGCTAAGTATAATAGTAGACAATGTAATGTTTGATTTGAAAGCTATGCTAAGAGTTATAATTGTATAGAATGTAGTTATTTTTCATTCTACATAAAATTTACACAGCATATATCAACACCACTACCCCATCCCTAAGTATGGTAAGCTGGATCTAGTGTCATCATTAATATAAACATTAAAATTAAATTTGTCCAAGTAGGTATA